GCGCCACTCACCGCCCCGGCGCGTCCGCCCGCGTGTGCGTCCCTCCGCTGGCCCCGGCCCCGCTTGCCAGGCCGCCCCGACCCGCCCTGAACCGCCCGGAGCCCCGAGCCCCTCAGCGGCAAGCCGCCTTGGGCTGTCACATAGTGGAAAACGTGACCGCGCGCGCCGCGCCCGCCCCCGCGCACTCCATTGGCCGAGCCCCCGCCTTATCTGCATACTAGGGGGCGGGGCCAGAGGCGCCGCGCGCCCATTGGTGGAGCCGCCCGTCGCTCTCTTTACATAAGACGCACATGGAACTCCATGTTCGCCGCCCGGGTTTTCAATGGAAACGCCCTGCGCTCGGACACCCCCGCACCCCGCCGAGTGGGCCAGTCCACTTCCGGCTGCCGCGCCTGCCATTCACAAGGACGGCGGCAGCGGAGCGCCGAGTGGAGCGAACCACTGCTGGCGGGGGCCGAGCGCATTCAACCCGCGTTACTCATTCATTCATTCATTCATTTATTCATTCATTCATCCATCCACCCCTCCCGTCCTTACTCACTCATTCATTCATCCACCCATCGCTCTCATTCATTCCCTTCCTCGCGCTCATGCACTTATTCATCCCCCCTCACTCATTCATCCACCCCCGCTGTCACGCATTCATTCATCCACCCCGTGCCCTCACTCATGCATTCATTCTCCAGTTGTTCTCATTCATTCCCTTCCTCGCTCTCATTCACTCATTCATTCCTTCATTACCCCCTCATTCATCCACCCCCGCTGTCACTCATTCATTCATCCACCCCCTTGCCCTCATTCATTCACTACACGTTCATTCCCTTCCTGGCTCTCATTCACTCATTCATTCGTTCACTGCCCCATCCTCACTCATTCATCCTTAGGCACCTCTGAGAGCTGCCTGAGGACAGACAGGGTGCCCGCGCCCCGCCCCAAGCTTCATGCCCACCCAGGCCATCCTGCATCCCAGATTGGCCTTTCTTTTTTAAAAAAAAAAATTTTTTATGGGGCTGGAGAGATGACTCAGCGGTTAAGAGCAACGACTGCTGTTGCAGAGCACCCGGGTTCGATTCCCTGCACCCACATGGCGGCTACGAACCGTCTTTAACTCCAGTTCCAGGGAAATCCGAAGCCGCCTTCTGACCTCCGCGGCACTGCACAACACGGGTGCACTCACGTACATGCAGGCAATAGATTATTATAAATAATAATAAATTATTCTTTTTGTTTTATGTGTCTGTGTGTATTGCGTGCACCTGTATCATGCAATGCCCACAGAGGGCAGAAGAGGGCGTCAGGATCCCCTGGAACTGGAGTTTCAGACAGTTGTTAGCTGCCATGTGGGTGCTGGGATTCAAACCTGGGTCTTCTGCAAGACCAGTCAGTGTTCTTAAACGTGAGCCATCTCTCCAGCCCCGCCTTTCTTATTGTGAAACCAAGTGTTGCAAATTTTGATTCAGGAAATAAGGTCATTGTGGCAGTGTAGACACCTAGACATACAAAGGAAAAAGTGTTTTTGCCCAGCTCCCTCAGACCTTGTTAGGGAGAAAGAAGGAATTTAATCAAATACTAAATGGGATGGCATGGTTTACAGATTGATAGAGTGCTTGAGGGGAGGGCTAGATGTGGGAGGTACTTGGAAAAGCTGAGCCTTCCCAAGGCATAAGTCACAGACTAATCTAATCACGGTTGGGGACTCCCTGGGCATAGGATGGTGCTGCCCCTGTGGGCCACCCCATGGCATCTTGGCCAAAGGTATTTGTTCTTTAGGGGAGCAGCACTATTTGGATGCATATTAAGCCCCCAGGCTCCTGTCCAAAGGGCCAGAGGAGAAAGCTGACCTCCTGGGACTGGGTCCAGGGCCAAGACTTATCTGTCTGACTCTGAAAGTGCAGATTGTGGTAGGGAGGCCAGACTGCTGTGTCTGGAAACCACTGACAAGCCTGGAGGCATTGCCCAGGAAGCTGGGGCCTGCAGCATCTGCCCCCACTCCTCTGGATCTTGCTTGGGATCTCCTAGGGACCAGGGATGGAAGGTAAGAAAATGTTATGAACAGCAACCTGTGGACGGGTCCACAGCCAGCTAATCTATATTCAAGAATTCCTGTATGTCTCTGCCTGGCAAGACGTGTATACAGTTCCTCAGATGCAGATGGGACAAGCACCAAGTTCATCTGGGCAGTCCAAAGGAGCTCCAGGAAGCCTACTGTTGACTCACACTTCAGGGGGCAGGGCAGCATCTCCTGTCCCTCTGACACTGACACCTCACCACACTCCCCAACACACACAAACTACCAAATAGAGCTGGGCCAAGCTGCACCCCGCACACACCCAAACAGCCTTTTGTTTCCTCACTGACATTGACGTCAATGGTGGCTGCATTGTTCTAGAAAGGAGAGTGAACAGCTCATCCACCTCACAGAGATTCTCCTTCATACTCAGCTTTTTTCTTGGTCTTGCTCTACATTCAGCCTGCCATGTAATGTCACATTTCCTCCCTAAATTGAACCTTTCCCATTTCCACTAGTAAATCTTGTAGAAAGATACACAAATCAATTAAATGCTGTAGGATCCTAGAGCTCCTCGGAATCTATTTTCAGTGTTTCACTTAGTTGATTTATTATTGTTATTACTGGAAGCTTCAATTTAGTCCACAAATATTTGTTAACACCTGAATTTGAGGAGGAACGCAAAAATGCATCTCCTTGGTCTTTTTGTGTCTGTTCTTGAGACGGTGTCTTGCCTTGTACCCCAGGCTGGCCTGGAGCTGGCTATGGAGCCTGTTTTGGCCTCAAACTCAAACCATCTTCCTGCCTTTGCCCCCTGCATTCTGGGTTTACAGGCGTGTGCCACCACACCCAGCTCAAATATACCTCATTGGAAACTTGTTCAAAAGGAGTTTGTGGAGTAGAGATGATGAAGCAGACTCATAAGCAGTGCTGTCTAAAATGGGGTGTAAGTCCTAAGAAAACAGAATCAGACAGAAACTCTCACCCTGGCTCCAAAAGAAGTGAACTCTGAAAGATATGACCCCTTAGGATCATGCCAAGTCCATGGATGCAATTCTTGCTAAGTCAAGACAGAAAAAGAGAGCAGGGCAGTCAAGCTGGAGCAGGATGATGAATCTTTTCTAGCCATTCCACGCTGACTGTCACCTCCAGCACAGAGCTCTTGGCCAGGTAAATTAATCTTGGCACTGTGGGAAGTGGGCTGGAAGAAGAAAGGCAGCCCTTCAGTTGGGAGCAGTTGGGGGATGATGACCTAGGGACTCAGGACTATGGAAAAAACTGACCTGTGGTCCCAGCCTTCATCCCACCTCTCAGCCAATGGCTGACTTCTAACAGGCTGTTTCCACCATGTTGGCCCTGCCCATCCATGCTTGGGACCTGCCTGGAAGCACTCCTTTAGCCCTTGTCCCCAGCCTCTGTGCCTTGCCAGACCCTACTCAGCTCTCTTGCTCACATTTAGTTAGCTAGCTGTGTAGGGAGCAGTCACTATGCACCACCAGGCTTTGTCCTGGCCTCCTCTCCTTGTGGGTCCCATGGTTTATGGGTTGGTCAGCTGGGGCACAGGTCAGAAGGGCAGGGGGCTAGGAAGAGAATTATCTCTGGACATGGAGATGGTTCACCAGGAAGCTCCCTGTAAGGTGAAGGGACACGGTCAATCTATCTAGCCCTCTAGCCACAGAACCCTCTTCTTGGGCTAGGGACATTGGAAAGGAAGATGCCTAATCTTCACTCTTTAACCTCACTGCATCTGGTTTACATCTGACCCCAGACTGGTACAATGGCAGCTCCTGGCAGGGAGCTCCCTCAGCCAGATCCCAGGGCATGGACAGCTCTGATCTCACACATGGTGACATGAGGCCCACTTGTTCCTAGTGATCCGGAAGACCTTGAAGCAGACAGGTGACCCAGGAGCAAGTGACTTTCCTAGATAGGAAATGGACTGTGAACCAATTTTAAAACAGTGTCCTGGTTGTGTTGGGTACTGTTCTGGTTTGTTTCTCCATTGCTGTGACAAAACACTCTGACCAATACCAACTTGGGGAGGAAAGGGTTTATTCAGCCTACAACTCCCAGGTTACAGTTCATCAGGGAGTCCAAGGTAGGAACTCAGGGCAGGAACCTGGAGGCAGGAGCTGGAGCACAGGCCATGGAGGAATGCTGCCTAACCCTAACCCCTGGCCCCTGCTCAGCCTGCTTTCTTATGCCACATAGGCCCACCTGCCCAGGGGTGACACCACCCACAGTGGGCTGGGCCCTCCCACATCCTCATCAAGAAGATGCCCCTCAGACACGGCCACAGGCCAGTCCAATAGAGGTAATTCCCCAAGTGAGGCTCCCTCAACCCAGGTGTGTCAAGTTGACACTAAAGCTATCCAGCACAGGTACCTACTGAGAGGATTGTGTGTGTTATTTTTTTTTTAACTATAACTCCAGGGAAGCTGTCTTTTGTTTGGGGAGATTCACATATTATTCTCTCTCTCTCCCTCTCTTCCTCTCTCCATTCCTCCCTCCCTCCCTCTCTGTACATATTACTTCAGGAAGTCACAGGTTCACTCGTCACTGGTGAGTATGCAGTCCAGACTTTCTTCTGTGAGGAAGAACTGAGCAAACATTTGCACACAGCCAGCTGATCTGCTCTGTTGACATCCCCATCCCCTCTACAAAGGACATCTTGACAATCTAGTTCTTGCAGTACAAGTCAAAGTGGTGACAGTGGGGATGGCAGGATGGCTAAGCAGGTAAAGAACTTGCTGCCAAGCCTGACAACCTGAGTTTGATTCCTGGGATCCATATGGTGGAAGAGAAAGCTGATTCCCAAAAATTGTCTTCTGACCTCCACATGCACACTGTGGCACACAAACACACAAACACACACACACACACACACACACACACACACAATAAATAAATGTTTAAAACTTTAAAAAATTTAGAAGTGATGAGGTTTTTATTTATTTTGTTTTGTCATACCTAGGTGCAATGAATTTTTACCCATGACAGTTGTTACTACTTTAAAGGAACCTTCTTAGATGAGTCCAATCTATCTTTGCACATAATTTAAATGTCCTAGCTCTGTCTCTGACTTCATTGTATGTTTTATATAAATGAAGTGTTTAAAAAGCAGCATCCCA